CTGGTTCTGAATTTTGATTTGTAAACTGGACTTGTTTTGTTTGTTTGCTTGTTTTTTGCAGAATGAGGCCATTACCTAAATTCCTACCTAGGACATGTGCTTCTAGCTTTTCCCTTTGCTATTCTGAAAGGTGGCAGACATTCTGTCTTGCATAATGTAGGTCCCAGAGAGGTCCAACGCTTGGTTGTCAAAGTCTTTCCATGTTGCATGGCAGTACCTGTGTGGGAAGCCCAAAATTAGAACTAATGGACATACTGAAAGCCAGGATGTACATGAATTGGCTGCATGACTGAAGAGTTGCCTGACTCAAAGCTCCTTAGACCTTCTTTATAACAAGTAAATATGGTATTACATGCTGCTTTCCAAGCGTAGATTTGTAATCATCAGTGGTCCCTTGAAGTCCAGGATGATGTCCTTCAGGCTCGATGTGTCCTCTGGTGACTGAGGAGCCTGATTCTGGATGCACACATTCTTTGGCAATGAGGGCATGTCTTTTGCATGGGGGAGTGGGATTTGCAGCCCCCGGTTGGTCTCCTCCTTCTTCCTCTGCCATTGCCGTTCCACCTTGGTATCCAGTCATTGGGCCTTGAAGTGGTCCGTGCCTTGGTGCCATGCCGAATGGTCAGCAGCTTGCTCCTCCCAGCCATTGGTGTGGATGCCTGTGTGTTTGAGGGCAACCTTGAGCTTTGTACTGTTTCCTTTGGCTTTCCTTTGAGTGTTGGCCAATGGAGAGCTGAGAGAAGAGAATCTGGTGAGGGAGGTGGTTCTTGGACATTCAGATGCAGCAACCTTTCCATCAGAGTTGACTTCTCAAGAGCAAGGCTTCAATGATGATGGATGCAGCTTCATGGAGGACGCTTGTGCTGGTCCGGCGGTCCTCCCATTTGATTCCCAGGATTTGACACGAGCACTGCTGGTGAAAACTCTCAAGGTCTTAATGTGGTGTCGGTAGGTGGTCCAGGCTTTATTGCAGTAGATGAGGGTGGTCAGCACGACAGCCTTATAAACCAGGACCTTCACAGACTTCCACAGATCTCTATTTTCAAAGACATATTGTCGCAGCTTGAAAAAGGCGGCACTGTTGCAGTTGACCTGGTGCTGGACTTCTTCATTGATAGTAGCCTGTTGAGAGAGGTGGCTGCTGAGATACGGAAAATGCTCCACATACTCCAGAACCTCCTCGTCTATGTAGATAGTGTGAGGGATGTTCACCTGGCTCAGGGAGTGTTGGTGGAGAACCTTTGTCTTGGCAACATCCAAACTTTGGTGGGCAGCCAAGGCATTGGAGGATCATCCATAGAGCTTCACACTTTAAGGAATCAAACACCGTGGTCAGGTCAGTGAAGGCAAGGAACAGTTCTTGATTTTGCTCCCAACATTTTTCTTGGATCTGCCTGGGAATGAAAACCATGTCCGCAGTGCCCCAGGATGGTTAGAAGCTGTGCTGGGTTTCCAGAAGGATCTTCTCAGCAATGGGACGAAGGCAGTTCAGGAGGATGCGAGCTAGGAGCTCATCTGCAATGGACAGGAGGGAAGTCCCCCCTGTAGTTCCCACAGTCAGATTTGTCCCCCTTCTTGGTAGATGGTCACATTCTTGAGATCGCCAGGGATGTCCTCTTCATCCCAAAGGCAGAGGATAAGGTGGTGGAGTTGTGATGTGAGCTGGAAGCCGCCTGCATGGTAGGTCTCTGCGGGTATACCACCTGGCCCGCAGGCTCTTTTGGTTTTCATTTGTTGGATGGCCCACTTCAGCTGTCCGATGGTTGGTGGATTGCTGAGGGAATCCACCACAGGGTGTTGCGGGACAGCTTGTAGGGTCTCCTCTGATATGGTGGACTCCCGGTTCAGAATGCTCCTTCCAACACAAGCAGATGGCATCATCATCCTCAAGGAGCTGGGAACTGTCCTGTGATCGGAGGGGGTTTTGTCCAATGGAGTGGGGTCCAAAGGTTGTCTTGGTAGCCTGGAAGAAGTTATGCATGTAATTCTGGTTGGCATAGCCCTGGATCACGCGCACCTTCTCCACCCACCGGTTGTCCAACAATGCATCTGTGACAAAGAACCTCATCCTTCAGCTGGTGGTACAATGCTTGTCTTTTGCTGAGTTTGTGGATTCCTTTGCCAGGTGGTGGATGGCTTTGCCAGGTAATGAAGGCTGCATGCTTCCACTTGAGGAGATTGTGAATCTGAGTGTCATTGGCATCAAACCAGCCCTGGTTCCGTTGCGATATGAACACAATAGTTTGGGTGCAGGCGTCTTGAACAGCAGACTTGAGTTGCTCCCAGCGTGCCTGGATGGAGATGTCATCAGTGGTAGGTCCTTGCTCCAGTGCACTATGCAAGTGGGCCTGGAACTCCTCCCACTGTGTAGGGTCCTTCAGAGCTGCGACGTTCAGCCATCTCCGGGCGGCCTTCTGGGTCCTCCGGTGTCTTGGCACCAGGCGGGTGTTCATCACCGAGCACACAACTTGGTGGTTCTATCCAGCAGTCTTTAGACCCCTTCATGGCCCTTGTGATGGGCATGTCCCTCAGGTCTCTACCTCGGATGATGATGTAGTCCAAGAGGTGTCAGTGCTCTGACCTTGGATGCCTCCACATGGTCTTTCTGGTGGAGTCCTGAAACACTGGAGGTTGGGAGGGGGTGTTGCTGGGTCCCCAGGACCCAATCCCAACATTGGGGCTTGAGACAGATATTCAGAAAGTGTGAGCTTGAATTAATTCAATCTTTGCAGGTTGGTCTAACCTGGCTAGGCTAAACCAGTTTGTAATGTACAGACATCCCCTCTGGATTGAGGAAATTTAGACGTGTCTGCAGTGGATCAGGCTAGAAGTGGGGGGAGGAGGGGTGCTAGAGCTCCCTTCCATTCCATGGTGCTGAGCTGAGGGGCCAAGCCCCGGGGGCAAGGGACTCTGATTAGGGAAGGCGGGAGGGTCCCTCCCCCCTTAATAACAGAGCAGTTATCATCTCTGTTATCAGCATTTTACACCCCATCAGAAAACAAAAACCCTCATTAGTTCAAGCTCTTAAACAACTTTTTGCAAGGACAGGAACATTTCAAGGAAAGACATTGCCAGCTGCCTGTAGATTAGCTTCAAAAAGCCCTAAATACACTGTCCTGTCTGCTTTACACAGACACCTCTCAGCATTAGCTAACATACTACATGCTGGCTACTGTCTGTGCTGTGGGAGGGAAGAGGGAGGGATTCCTGCTTGAGAAGTGGGTGTGGGGGTAGGACCAGGAGGAAGCCAGGCTGTGCCCCTGCAAATCTTTGCCAGAGCTCTAGCAAGGGATTAGAGGGGAGGGGTCAGCTCAGCTCTTTGGAGCAGAGAGAGCATGTCAGGATGCTAGGGGAGTCTAGTTTAAATTAAATCAGGAAGGGGTCTGAGACAGACATTCCATACTAGTTTGACCCAAATCAGTTATGTCTGATACTACATTCAGCTCAGTTTATCTCAGACTGGTTTCAGCCATTTTCAAACTGGTTTATATACACTGAATGTCTGTTCTGTTACAGGTTTAAACCAGTTTCTGATCACTTAAACTGGTTTATGTGTAATGTTTGTCCCTATCCTTGGGGACAGGAGAGGGTAGTACCTGGCCCAATTTCTTTTTTTTCCTGTGCAAAAGTGGTAAGTATTTGGCATCTCAGAATTGGGCTCATAGGGGTTTTGCAACATTCAGATACTTCGGGTAATGAAGTACGATCCATCAAGGTTAAGTTTGCAAATGGTTGTCTTGTAGGCAAGTTGTTTATGTAGGAAATTGCCTCTGCTGGTTATTCAAGATCTTCTTCATAAGAATTTGGGACAATCGCTTAACTTTTGCAGGGGTTGCTTTTTACTCATGTGCAGGATGACCATATATTTGGTCAATGCTTGTAGTCTTAGATTTTGTTGTTCAACTGTATCATAATAAATCTTGAGTACTGCATTTTCCTGGTATGTAACTTACCGTAACAGGTTATGGCTGCACCTAGCTGATTACCTGTTAGTGAACCCCGGCAGGAAGTTCTGGCCCTACTTCCAGACTTGCCCACCATGACTTCATGTTAAATTTTAGCATTCTTCCACCGGGGTCCTACTGCTCTGCCGGGGTAGTAACGCTGGCCAGCCTGGTCCACTTTAATGCATATAACCACTGCTGTCATTTATGATGCCCAGTCTGATGTTGACGTATCCTCCCGCTTTGGGCATGATAGCGCACAGGAAGTGGCCCCGTCTCCGCTACTAACGGACATCATCCTGATTGATGACCACAGGGCGTACTGGGGGCTCCTCCACCCCTGTACTCCCTCCACAGATCTCCAAGTTGTTTGGTCAGTCCTCGGGCCCTGTGTCAGGCTGGGAGTGCTTCAAACTGCATGCAATCTCCAGGCTGGAGTCAGAGTGCTTTCTTACATACTCAGTCCTAGTCTTCTTGCTCGGGTCGCCTCACCAGTTCTTGGTGTTCACTCCTCAGCTTCTCATCCAGGGTTCCTCACTCTCATACATGTCCCGCTCTTCGAGCTGCCTCTGTGGTGCTCCAGCTGGCCAGGGTTGGGTACTTCCAGTGTGCCTGTGTTTCTGGCTCCTGCAGTTGAAGAGGAACCTGCTTACTGGGGAAAGCCTTCAGTGGAGCCAGAACTCCCCAGCTTTCCCAGTTTCCTTCACGGGGCTTCCCCAGTGCTGTCAGCAGGGCTTCTCCTCCACTTTCCAGTGGAACTGGTTACGAGGATGGACTGGCTCACTTTTTTCCCCAGAAAAGGACAACCTTCATTCTGGGTTGACTCAGGCTGCACTCAGGCAGGGCTGGGAGTGCTGGCCTCAGCCCCCACCCCTTGCTGCAGAGGGGCAAAAGACCTGATCTTCGCCAGCTTGGGCAGCGAGTCTGCACACTGGCAGGTCACTGTTTGTTTGCTCCGGTGGAGGGGGAGGCTGTGAGTAAGCTTGTTCCCTTACCCTATCACATCTTAGTTTGCACTAAACAACATGTTTGTGTTTTTCCTAATCTTTGTTGCAGGACTTGAATTAGTAGCATTTGAAAGACGTAAAAATGTCAGAAGATATCAAGAAGCGACTTGAATTTCCTAACACGCTCATTCAGACACAGGTAATTCTCCTTTGTCAAACATTTGGCACAAAGACCTACTGTTTTACTTCAGTAGAGGAGACCAAAATAACATTTTCCCTCACTTTCCCCATAGTTGTAGATGGCATTACAGCCAGCAGAGTTTTCTTAAGTAGTGAATATTGGTTATTCAACTTGCCGCTAACTGGAGCGTTGGGCCCCGTCACCCACCATTCTACAAATAAAAATAGCAGGAACTCTCTGAGAGAAAACATTAAATTAAGCCAGCAGGCACTAAATCATCTATTGCCACCCTGTGAACACATATTTGAGAGGGTTCAACCCAAAGCGATACAACTTCTAGTTCTTGAAGTCTACCTATGAAAGATCCCCATCCCTCCTGCTAGGTGAGAGTTGGTGACAAACAGCTGCATCCATCAGGTCTCTGAGTTCATCGTATCAAAACCATGAACTCATTCCCAGTGGTGAACTGTTTGTTTATATATTTATTTACATAACATATTTTTACCACCATTATTTTTAATTGGTCCTAGAGAAAAGAAATATACTTAAAATCATTTAAAGTAATATGTCCATTTAGTTCTTCTGCTGTACAGGCATTTAAACCTATGACAAACTTCCCCTTTTCTCTGTCTCTCCCTGTCTTGTTTACCTACTGCAGCAATTTCTCAGTTTGCCTTAAGAATTGAAGTGCCATGAAAATCGTCTTTAATTAAGTGCAGTTCTTATGGCAAGCTGCCTCTGCAACACTATGGTTCATTGTGAACATCATTTACTTAAGTATGCATTTCTTCCACTTTAACCTCAGCTATGGAAATGTATAGTAATCCAGTGTGGAAAAGATAGACCTAGGTCTCGGTGGCCAAATCCACATTTGGAAGGACGAGAGAGAGCATTTCTATCAAGCTGGAGGGGGAAGGAAGGCAGGGTTCTGTTCTTTTACCACAAATGGGACCATATCATTTACGTTTTAAGTGTAATCAAACAAAACCCTGATGGTTTGACTCACTTTGAACTAGTAGCAGTTTCCATTAATTGAAAGAGAGCCACTCTCAAATAACACTGAAATATGTCTTCTCCCACTCAGTCCACTGGCATGAATGGTCAGCCTTGAGGGGTGCCATTGCTGTGTTTTGTGCTGTGCTCTAGTAGCTCCACTAACTCTTGTTTTACCTCTGTTCAAGGACTCACCCTGCTCTTCAGAGCCATCAGTAACAAAATCCAACTGCAGAAATTGTCACATATTTATTTATGATGCCCCAAACAGGATACCCAATGTAAAGAGTGTGAAAGCCATAGGTACAGTGTTATTGGTCAGAAGGCTTTTCTGGTGAAATGAGGTTAGAATAGAAGAGATTGACCCAGAAGCTGCCTGTATTTATGGAGTAGTACCCTACTATATTAATGAAAGTTTCCCACCCAAATGAATAGTTGCAGGGATGGGAGTGTGCATCTGTCTGAAATGGGGTCCTTACAACCAGGAAAAGAAAGGGAAGAAAGTTAATTTAGGTCTACTAAGGCTGTGCCATATAGATCTAACTTGCCTGGGAAATGGTTATAGAACCCCCTAAGATAAATATCTGACTCTGTCCCATTATCTTTCTTGATTTGTACACTAACAAGACGTTTGCATAATTGTTATTTTTTAGTAAAATATGTCTGAATTCTTGTCACTTTGGATTGCATGAGCTGTTTACAATTTGACAAAGTATTTATGTTATGTTAAACGTAATTTAGTTCTAGTGAGCTGTAATCTGGAGGAAGTAGTAATTAGTTTATAAAAGAAGGAACCTGGAAAGGTTTAAATAACTTACAGTCTTCTCCATATGTCTCTACATCTTAATGAAATTTATTGAGCTTTCACACTCTTTCTTACTACTAAACTCTCTTGATGATCAAGAGCTAACTTAGCCAGTAATGAGTACATTTGTTCTTTTTCTTTTGTATATAGCCATGTTCCTAAGCACCATCATATTTTTATTGTGAGAGGATCTGCCTCTTATATAGGATTTTTTTGTTTGAAGATAACAATGCATAAGTATGAGAGAGAGCAAGAAATTAGGTGGGCCAAGAAACAAAACTCTGAATCAAAACACCTCATGTATCTTTTAGTCTGTTTAAAATCTAAGCTGGGGTAGAAATTTTAAATGAAGTCCTTGTAACTGAGATGCATCTTCCTTTAAACCAGAATGAACATCTCAGTCCTGGGTCTGGGTTTTTGGTTGTAGCTGTGTTGGCCTAAGAGCATAGTCCTGGATCTAAGTTTTGCAAATTTCCTCCCTCGGTTTCTCCACTATTTATTAGAACCAATGTGTTAAAGTAACTGCTTATGGGTTAAGGCCCTAATTTTGCGCGTTGTTCCAGTTGTGCAGACACTTGTGTATATGTGGAGCCCTTTTTATTCTAAGATGGCAAGTATTATGGCTGCAGGCAGGAGATTGTTAGTTCTAGAAGATGCCTCAGCGCTCAAATTATTTGGCTCCCATTAGTGTCCAGATGTTGTATTAACAAACTATTTGGCCATCCTCTTGTTGCAGCTGCAGCTTGGCTTCTTGTTTCTTTTTACATGTGAAATGATCAGTTTTTACCACCTCTATTAATTGGTTCTGTTGTATTTTATAGGGAGTGGGTCATCTAATTGCTGCAGTACTACGAGAAAAAGTTTCATCAGCCAAGATCAATCAGTCTACTAACCAGGTCTGTATTACTTTGCTCCCAGTTTTTCTCTCTTGCATTGGATTCTAAGCTTCTTCTGAAGTCTGTATATCTTATGTTCCACTTTTAATAAAATTACCAGTGCTGGATAAGGTACCCTGCAACATGTTTCTGAGAATACAATCAGAAACTGGAAACCTATGATCAGAAGAGAAATTTATTTTCCCATGTAGAGACCAAATGGCTAATAAGTAAGACTGCAGAATGTCTATTTTACTGTCTGTCAAATTCCAGCTAATGCATTTTTTGTTTTTTAAGATTTTTAACCTGTTTAAATTCGCTGATGACACCAAAATTTGGGGGGGGGTGAGCACGCTAGCAGGGAGTGAGAGATTGCAGAAGGATCTGGATAGGTTACAGGGGTGGGCTAACAGGAACAGGATGCGTTTCAATATGGACAAGTGCAGGGTGCTGCACTTGGGCAGTAGGAACCAGCAGCACACTTACACAATGGGGAACTCCCTACTTGAGAGCACGGAGGCAGAAAGAGATCTTGGAGTCATTATTGACTCCAAGATGAACATGGGCCGACAATGCGAGGTCATGGTTGGCAGGGCTAACCGGACCTTGTCGTGCATCCACAGGTGCATCTCGAGTAGAGCCAAGGAGGTGATCCTCCCCCTCTACGCGACGCTGGTCAGGCCACAGCTGGAGTATTGTGTCCAGTTCTGTGCGCCCCATTTCAAGAGGGATGTGGACAACATGGAGAGGGTCCAGAGGAGGGCCACCCGCATGATCCGGGGACAACAGGGCAGACCCTACAGTGAGAGACTGCGGGACCTGAACCTATTCAGCCTCCACAAGAGAAGGCTGAGGGGGGACCTGGTGACCGTCTATAAACTCACTAGGGGGGACCAGAAGGGTTTGGGGGAGACGCTGTTTCCCCTAGCGCCCGCTGGCATAACAAGGAGTAATGGGCACAAGTTGATGGAGAGGAGGTATAGATTGGACATCCGCAAAAACTACTTCACAGTTAGGGCGGCTAGGAGCTGGAACCAACTTCCAAGGGAAGTGGTGCTGGCCCCTACCCTGGGGGTCTTTAAGAAGAGGCTGGATGCCTACCTGGCTGGACTCATTTGAGTCCTGTTTTTGTTTTGGGGTTTTGTTGTTCTCCCGCCCTTGCGGGGGGTCGGGCTAGAAGATCTACTAGGTCCCTTCCGACCCTAAATCTATGAAACTATATTGTAGCAGATACGGATTCCTCAACATGGCAAACTAATGCCAAAGACAAGGATATTTGTGGGTAATACTTTTTTATTGGGCCAACTGCATGGTAGGGATAAGGTTAGACGAGCTTTTGAATGCAAGGCATTCCTCATCAGGTTTGAGGGAAGAAGTAGGCACAGGGATGATTAAGAAGAGTGTTTAACATTGTGAAAGTGGAGGAGAGAGAGATTCCCAGGAGCAGCAGGCAAACATTTAACAGAAGGAAAGAACCTTGATTAATGAGAGATCAAGTCCTATCAATATCTTTGCTTCTCAGATGATTCCTGGACCATCACAGCTATAACATCACTCTAGCACTACTAAATTAATGCTAGTAAACTCGTTGTTCAAGCAGATCACCACCACGTTATGGTCCTGCAACAATCATTGCTGTTCTACATATAAACATCTTTCAAGTTAGATCTCACAGTTAAAATAGGACTTGGATTTCAATTAGATTTCAAATCTCTGTTACAAAATATTTCCTTTTTGCATCAGCAAATTGGGGTTCATATTTCCTTACAAGCCAACGCAACCTGAAGCTTTAGTTTACTTTTTCAGTTTGTCCAAGCATTGTTAATTGAGGTGAGTATAAATTGCTGGTCTTGGTGAATGACACAGAGCAGCAGTAGGTATTTCCTTTTTTTCATTTAATTCTTTAAAAGGTGATCTGTAAAATGGGGAAGAAATCTGGTTGGGGTCATGTCTGCACTTCCCCAGTGTATTTAACTAAGCAAAAAAAAGAAACCTGAAAGATCTTTTTAAAGTGGTGTTTAGGGGTTTTTTAAATTCCTTTTAAAATATCAAGCATGTACTTGTGCAGTTTTTGAACGACTGCAGCACTTTTTAGTTAAATGAGTAGTAAGACAAAGCAAACAAAACTCCAGAAGTTTAACAACTGGGAAGAAAATGACTTTCTCTGTCTGAGGCCCTGTTTCAGGAAGTTCCTTCAGCCGTGTATAATATTAAGCATGCAAGTAGTTACTGGGGATGCATGTATACTTAAAATTATGCAGTCTTGTTAAATTAGGGTCTAATGGAGAAGAGGAGTACTCCTCTGGACCAGAGCCTCCATAGAGTTTTATTTCCTCAATGAAATGTTATTATTAGTGCTTTTGTCATCTACAAAATATTTTATTGTAGGCAGTTAAGTTCTAATGGGAAAAAAAATGAAACTGCTGTATAGGAGGGAAAATAAGTTTTGTTTGCAAGATCTTGTATTTTATTTTTAAAATCAAAATAAACACCTTTCCCAAGGGGCATAAGCTATGATTTCTTTTTTTTTTTTTTTTTCAGTCAGATGGATTTAGACACCTGTGTTTTAACTTCAGTTGAAGATATGCATCTTAATCACTTCAACTCAGTTGCTTCTAAAACATCTTAATTTATATTTCCTACCTATTATAGACTGGTCACTGGTGTAAGTTTATTGATCTTGGCTTCAGGAAGGACTGAGTTTAGATGTAAGCAATACATGAAAGTATTTAGGACCCGAAACTAAAACTCCTGTAATACTGAGGAGGATAGTTAAACATCCTATATGGATGTAATTTGCCAACCCCTCCTTCTCTCCCCTCCACTCCCCCCACATGTATGAGAGATTGAATTGAAACAGGGTGGCATGTTTTGGTCCAGCAGTAAATAAATAGTTATGTGGTAGTTTCACTTGACATGCTTCATGTTCTCTTTGTGTAAAAATTTGATTTGTTAGTTTTCCTGGTACCTTCATTTGCATATTGTCAAGAAGAACAAACATAAACTTCATAACAGGAATGTAGCATCAAAATTAAATATGAACCTGATCCAAAACACAGTAAAGCCAGTGAAGTTCAGATTGGGTTCCTTTTATTTCTAAAAGCAAAAGATGCTCTTTACATGGAATTAAGGTCAAATGAATCTCGCAACTGCTTCTCTATAAAACAGAAAGTATTGTCATTGTTATATAAAATATCCATACTTTGGATAAAGTAAAATTTTGTAACAGAACAGAGGTCAAATTTTGCCCCACTGTTGAGCATAACTAAAACTAGTAGAAAGTAAATGTGATTAACTACTTCTTTTCCAGTGGGTAGATGCAGGTTGGAAAACTTCAGCCAACTCTACTGTTTAAATGCTTGAAGTTTTCCTGCAGAAAAAAACAGTTTAACTGGAAGGTTTTTTTTGTGGGAAATGATAAATTGAAATTTTGAACAGATTTTTGTGTCATTTTCTTAGCAGCTCTTGTAAACAAACAGGACCAGTACCAAAGTACATTATAGAGGTTTCTGAGAGAACCTCCAGAATTAGTGATCTAAAATTTTAGTAATAATAAAGATTGAGGACTCTTTTAAATACTGAATGCCAGTGCTGGTTTGAGTTCTAAACTTTTCCTCTTTGTTAAAGCTACAGAAACTTAAAAATCCCAATGAGAACTGAATTATGTTGGTGGCTTCCTTAGGCAACTAGGATTTGATTTCAGTTTTTCTCTGTGCTTACTACGGAGTGCAAAGAACTTGATTTCTAGTTTTATCCTTTTATTGTTTTAAACAGCAGCAGCCCTATCTGGAAGCAGATACAGAACACAATATTTTTGTCTAAGAGAATGCTCAAAATGACTGGTACTGAAATTTTGTCTCTACACTAATTCTTGGTCCTTGTGCTTTGGATTTCAGACTCCTGCATTAAACTTGCTTTGGGAGAAATGCTGCAGTGAGAATGTGACTGTGACTGTGTGGACGGCATGCTGTGAGAGCCTTGTGGCACTTGTGGCACAGGAACATGCAGAGTTCAGTTATGTCCTTAATGAAGCTCTCAATCGGATTCCCTCTGCCAGGTAATGTTCTCTGTCGCTACTTTGTACTTATTGCTGGCTGGTTATCCCTAGTGTTTTAGGTCTTGTCCTAAATTGTAGACTCTGTGGACCATGGACTATATTTGTGTGCACGGAGTCTAATTCCAGCACGTCCTGGTCCATGACTGGGGCTCCTACTCACTACCACAACGTGAAGAATAATAGTCCCACATAATCTCACAGGTGTATTTTATGCAGTGCAAGTAATTTTATTGACTTCACTGGGAATTCTCTGTTCATAAAGTTAAGTATAGATCCAAGATTTTGCCTTCCTGATTAAAAGACCTGTTTAAATTACCATCTAATTCCATTTAATATATGTTGCACTTTTTCTCCTATTCCAGTTCAACTGAATTTTACTTAGAGTCCAGTTAGGCAGTTACAAAGGTTTAGGTGGTCTCTAGTGTTTAATAAACAGTTCAGTAAGAGAAAATAGGGGAACAGTTGCAAAGCAGTTTTGACATAATGTGCTAGAGGCAAGAGTTAATGTAAGATTCTTGGTGATGTGGACAAGGTAAAGTGCGGTAAGTAGAAATGGTATGAGAGAGGCTTGCCTTTAGACATTGGTAAATGCTGAAACAAGTGCCTAATTTCATGCATATGTATAGCTATATTGACTGAGGTACAGTAGAGTTACTCACTTATAGATCAGGGGGGCTTGGGGGACAGGGGGGTTG